AAAAAAAAAAAATGGTTTGGGAATTTCAAAATTTACAAATTCCTCACAAATTCCTTGAAACATTCATTGGTTAAATCTATGAAAAAAAAAAAAAAAAAAATTATTTATAAAGGGAAAAACAAAGTTTCAATTGAATATTGTGAAAATGGTAAAATGTATTCAAAATGGAACGTTACACGAATCATAAACATTTTATATGATGCATTTTATTTCTCACGCTAACAAAAGTGGTTGCTGCGCCTTATGGAGAATACGTTTCCGGACAATCATTAAACGAGGGAACAAAAAAAAAAAAATAAGAATAAATAAAAAAGAGAATGAAACAACAATGATGAAAGGAAAATGAGGAAGGAACAAAAAAACCGCTCATGTAATATGGCGGCATATTACTCCGATTGTAATCGTTCCTCAAAACAATTCCTGTCGTCAATCATCAGGGCGAACAACTCCACAGAGGAAGAAGGATTGTCATGCCCATTTCTGCGCGAGATAATCATTACCGGTATCAAAAAATGTATGCAAAGAATAATCATTATATTGTTGAGATATCTATAACGGAATTTCTTCTTTATTTTACTCTTGTTTATTATTTATTAGTCATTATGTGTGAGTGACCCGTCGTATATAATCAAATGCGTACAAAAAGAGTGTTATGATATATATGCGTGATAAATTTTGCATGAATGACAATGTACATTCATTTCATTGTAATTAATTAAAACAAAAGCATTTCGTTGTTTCTTTCGCGAAAAAATATTACGCACAATGAAGGAAAAAAAAAAAAAAAAAAAAAAGAGGGTCCTTCTATTAGAGAAATATTGATGAAAGTTTCACGAGACGTTTTAATGTTTTTTTTTTCCTACGAACCGCTCTTTTTTTTTTGTTGCTAATGACGAGATTGATTGAAAAAAAAAATTAATCAGCACAAGTTTTTATTTAAAGAAATTCTGACCGAACCGTACAAGTTGACATCACGCTATTATCTCACCCCATCCCACCTCCTTGGAATAGATTTTTAGTTACGGGTTCTAATTTTATTAAAAAATTATCACGTTCTAGTTTTTTTTCTCGCGATGCAAATCTTTTTTTCACGTACAATCAATTATTTTTAAACCTAAATAAAAATTTTTGCCTTTTTTTGAACAAAACGTACAAGCGTGGCAACAAACAAAATAATTATTTGCTAAAAATAATAAGAAATTACAAATATTGTCGTCGTATATGCCTTTTTGTTTAAAAAGTTTTGGATTTTGGCTAAGTATGATTAAGCAGATGAGTGGTGGTGAAACAGGGTTTTTTAGTTTATTCGGTCAGTTTGTAAGGAAAGAAAACAACACTTTGTATGATTCTATAAAAGGTAATTTTAATCAAATAAAAAGTAATGATCTTCAAAGACTTTTTTTTACGGACTTGTTCTTTTGGATTGTCATTCCTCCCCCTCAAAATAATTTCGCCTTGTGCAGATTTCCCCCCCAAGAAAAAAAAAAAATAAAATAAAAAAAATGCAATCAACATAATTTTTTTTTTTTCAAGAACCATTTTATTTATTATTATTATTTTTTTTTTTGACGTTTAAAATTTTTCTGCTCAAAGGGGCGCGGTATAACAAGAAGTTTATCCAGAACGAGGTCTGGTTTTTTTTTTTTTATTTTTTTTTTTTTTATTTTTATTTTTATTTTTTATTTTTATTTTTTTTTATTGTTATTTTTATTTTTTTTTACTTTATTGTTTTATACGTTACCAAACCTTTTTCTTTTCTCACCTTTTTTTTTTTTTTTTTTTTTTTTTTTTTTGAAAGCGTTATTTGTTAATTTACATAATTGGTAAAGTTTAAAACATTTTGAAGCTGTTATCAATTGAGATCCCCAAATAATTTTAATTTTATTATACAATATAAAAATATTAACAGCCTCATTCTCGATGACACCCCATTTTTTTATATTTAAGCGTTAAATTCGGCGTACATCTGCAACTCATACCAAATTTTTTTTTTTTTCAAACTCAACAATTTTTCCAACTTGCACACCAAAAAAAAAAAAAAAAAAAAAAAAATAAAAATATTTTACTTATTATTATTCCAAAAAAAAAAAAAAAAAAAAAAAAATTTTTCTTTTTGATAAAAAAAGAAAAATTATTATTATTATTATTATTAATATTATTTTTATTATTATTTTTATTTTTATTGTTATTATTTTTTTATTATTTTTATTATTATTATTATTGGGTTTTCCTTCAAACGGGCACATCCATTTATCATTTCTTAAAAATACAATTTCTCCTACGCTCCCAAACTTTACGCAAAACCCATCAAAATAAAATGTCTCGTGATAACATCAACACTAGTGGTGTTTATAACATTAATTCTCTGACCAAATTAGATACATACTTCTTATCTCATCAGCATAAAAAATTTCATTTTCAGAATCGGAATCAAAATAATTTTAATCATAATAATTCCACCGATACCTTACCAGCGACATCATTACCGCAAACCTACTTTTCTTCTGTCACCAATGACGATACTACGTCGTCATCATCATGCTCTACTTCCGAACTGGCTGCGTCCGATCAATGCCTCGGAGATCATACCAGTGATGATATAGTAAGTGATCATCCTGATTCTCCGACGACACCTACTACCCCATTTGGCATTCACGTTAATAGTCCATTTGGAGAACCTCATATATCTTCTTATTCTCCCTGGTTAACAGCAACGATGCCCACAATATATGAAAATTCCTTCCCGCAAAAAATTTATACTTTTACCTCTCAAAACAAACAGAAACTACCTTCTTCTTATAACCTGAACGCTCATAAAATTGATTTGCAACAGCAATCATCACCTTTTCTCTCACAATCATCACCTATCCCTTTACAATCATCACCTTCTCCTTTACATTCATCACCTTCCCTCTCCGTCTCCTCTCGTTCGGACGACCTGGAAGAAACGGGTGAAAATTCTATCAAGGACGAAGAAAAATCCTCACATGATGACAATGACAATGACATGTGTGAGGATGATAACAAGGGAAATCAAAGGAAAACAAAAGAAGACATCTTCTTAAAATTGAAGTTACCCGTTAACGGTATTGCCACTCGCACACGTAGTAAAAAAACGATACCAAGTCAGGATCCCCCGTCTTCGAAGAAGAAGCATCAAAAACAGCAAAGGCAACAAAAGCATCAAAAGCATCAAAGACAGCAAAGACAACAAAGACAACAAAGGCAGCAAAGGCAGCAAAGGCATCAGAAATTACCGAGGCACCCATTGTCAGAGGAGGAAAAGGTTTTGCTAAAATATTCAAATAAGGTGGCAGAGATCCCTTCATTCTCAAGAAAGGTGACCATACCTTCTCAAAATGTTTCGGAGGAAACTTTACCGCAGTCGAAAAATCCAAATTATCCCATACCGAAATCGCAACGACAGGTTTTATCCGGTTGGACTTATCAAGAACAAAAAAGTTTTTTAGCTTTATATTTATCAGAGGGGAAAAATTTCGGTCTTATCGCCAGAGTGTTGAAAAAGCCAATTAAACAAGTTGTTGAATTTTATTATTACTTTAAAATGTCTACCAAGTTTAGATTCGCAAAAACTCTTAAAAAAGAATTGATTTCTTATTCTTCTAAACTGGATCAAATTGATAATTCTATAACTAAATTAAAACATTTATCCTCTGTAAATACCACCACCACCACCACTACCACCACCATCACTTCCTCCTCTACCTCTTCATCTCCCTCTCCCGCGAGAGTAACAGCTACACAAAGTGCCATATATAAAAAGAGAAGGGGTAGGCCAAGGAAAAGTTCCCAATCGCAGAAAGGGTACCATTGTTTTTATTGAATACTTACATGAAAGGAATTTTAGATTAGTACTCGTTTGGGGAAAATATTTTATTAACAAAAAAAAAAAAAAAAAAAAAAAAACGTTTGTAAATAAAAAGGGAGTTTTTTTAATAAAAAAAAAATTTCACAACAAATATTTCTTTTTGCTTGTAGCTGAAAATAAAATAAAGTCTCTTGATTTTCTTATCGTAAAAAATTTTACCCGAATATATTATAAAATGCACGTCATCCAAAGTAAAAAGTGGTGTTTCTGTCGATTAAAAAATGCTTTAATAATCACATCTATTTGATCTATTGATCGGAGGGCAAATAACCCATTATGATGCATTTGCATTTTCCTTGTTCTTCCTTTTTTTTCTTTATTCGTTTATTTATTCTTTATGTGGCGCAGCTGGTTCCCTATTTAGCATGAATCATAAATACAACAATAAAAATATTTGTCTCGTGTAACATTTGCATATTGTTATTGTATTCTAACTGAAATTCAGTGTTTTGTATGAAAAATAAGATTTAAACCAGTCATTTAAGTCCTTCAAGGAGGACAAGGAATGTCTCCGTTTTATTAGACATAAACGAGTAATTTTTTAAATTAATGCGTCAAAATATTGGAATAAAACGCGTTAATAGTTTTTTTTTTTTTTTCACATTTTTTCATTTTTTTTGTTCACGTCAACGAAGTTAACATTTTCTTAAATGTGGTAAGATATATTGGCGGTTTAGATAAAGTGTCAAGTAGCGTAATGTTTCCAAGAAAATAAAAAGAAAAATTGTTGTTTTAAAAAAATCATCATGACTAGACAAAGTTTCACAATTAGCCAAGTATAGTAATTACCGTAGACAAGTTTTCGTTGGAATTAGATAAGGTTTAATGGATGAGTTACACAATTTAAAAAAATATTCTATGCAACCAACAATAAGCCCACATTCGAACGAAACACTTTCTCCTCCATTTTTTTTAACATTCCATGATTTGATCACGCCTCTAAGTCACGAGGTTTTCAATTTTTTTTTTTTGGAACAAGGATGCTGTCATGTGTAAAATAAATAAATATATACAGTATATAATATATTTTTATTTTTAAAAAAAAAGGTAATTCCGTCAAAGTGACTTCCACATGAGGGTAACTAAAAAAAAAAAAATTAGGGGTTTGAAAATGAAGTCGCCTAATGTGTGGATTTATTACATTAATTAATTAATTCGCGGGCTTATGAGTAGAGTTTTCCAAAATAGCGTAACTGATTTTAGCTTCCGACGTTTCACCAAAACAATTACTGCGGCATAATGATTGCGGTTTTCGGTATAATACGGGAGTACATGTTTTCATTTCATGTGTAAATATAAATGATTTATTTATATTAAAATGATTTAATTTAAAATTATATTTCTTCAAACAGAATTTATGGTATAACCTCTCTATTAAAGGTTGTTTATATTATCATACCAAAATAGGATGTTAAATGAAATTTCTTGTTTAGAAGGTTCATGTAGACAAAAATGAACGGTTCGTTTTAAAACCTTAAATTTTCTTGCCGACCGTGGTTGATCTTTCCCCCCTTTTTTTTTCGCAGTAACCATCATTCTCGTTTTAAGCGCATCAAAGAGCTATTTCTTTTTTTTTTTTTAAAAAAAAAATTAAACAAATAAAATTAATTTTATAATCATTAATATGCGTGAAATTAAAAATCTTGTGCATTTTTTGGTTACTTCATTTATTTATTTGTTTATTATTTTTTTAAAAAAATAAAAAAGGATGTTTCATCGTGTAATTTGTTTTTTTTCCCCTGTCGTGCGTGCATAATTTCCACGCATCACGTGACATCCCGTTATTGACATACCTGATTCAATCGCGATTGATTCCTTGTAAATGTCTAAATGCATTAAATAGATGCAAATATGTGCTCAATGA